CCTCCAAGAATTCTAATTGAAACTGAACACACCTTCTAGACACGTCTTGTAGAGTCCCACAAAATTTCAATATCTACAAGCTCATTTAAAAATTAGATTGATATACAATCCATATTGACTCATGAGATATCCTATTTTAATAAATGGACTTCCCAAAGTGAATCTTAATTAAATAAATCTAGTTTAGTAACTCTAAATTAAACTTATTTCATTCAATATTCAATAAAAGTTTTCATGACTGAAATTTGAAACTTCTTATTAAAAACAAAAAAAAACACGTTTATCACTCTATCATAACTTTTGGTTGTAATTATTGGTTAATTAGTTAACCACTTAACCATATGGTTAGTTTGCTTATTTTAATCTCTTATCTAGAATTAAAGAAAAGTAGGTAAATTATTGAATTGGACATAATATTTGCCATTTGATATCAACATTTCAGATCCATCAATAATTAGGAGATCGAGACCAAAAATGCTCTATTTTGTCATTGCCTCCTTTCAATTTATTTGTATATTATTATTATATAAGGGTTATGAGATTCAAAAGTTATAAGTTGTTTTTCACTTATCAGATAATATATAATGGGTAGAAAAATGAAATATATTAGTACATCAATATCTAATAATACAGAAATGTATAGTTGTGGGGATAGGTTGAGTATGGCCCATGATAAGGGAAATAGATTAGCTACATTGTATGAGGTCCATGAAGATGATTGAGATTTGAGAGGAAGGGGCAAACCAATTTGAAAAGTAGTTGTCAGCTAAAGTTGCAATTGTCCTTTCAAGAACATGTAAAGATTTTTCTCATTTATTTCCCTACTTTTTTAACGTGAGATTCCCTTCTTCTTATATATATCTATTCATCTACTGATGGCAACTTATGACTCATCCTTCACTACACCATTCATAAAAGCCCTTCCCCACTTCCTCTTTCCTCTTTTTAAATTGCAAAAAAGTTTTTAACTTTCGTGCACGAGTCAGAGTGACAGAGACAGAATTTTTTATCATCATCATTTACTATGTTTATAAAGATCTACGGGGCTTACACCCAATAATTAATTAGTGATTTGTAATAATAGGTAAAATAAATATGATATGATAACTCTTTATATTGTCAGCGTATATAACTCAAATTTAAGTCATATAACTAATGGTTCTATTTTCAGTACTGCTACTGATCCCTTTGGTTTCTTATATGTTTTTATATTGTGAGAAATGCTGATGCAACGTATGCTTAAATGATCAATAATTGAAGCAGAAGTCCATCCATTATAAATTCTTAAAGTGGCCTTTTTGAGTTGTTAACTATGCATAGAAGACCCCTGTCTGAACTAACTCTACCAAAAAGTATTGTTAAATGCTTCATCAGTAATACCAATATGGATCACTTAATTAATTGTTTGGATTAGTTATAAACAGCTGTTAATTATAAGTGATGAGTCATGACAATACATCACAAGCCAAAAGCTGTGAGATTCCCATTTGTTTTATTTTTCTCGTGTAGTATTAGCCTTTGGATATATTAAAAGAATACCAAAAATATTTTGGGGGAAGAATTACATATTATTTATTAAATTGTTTGATATTATCAGTGTAAATAAATTAAATTAATTATATTCGTGTTTCAAAAAATAAAATCTGCTATAAGATTGGATGATCATAAAAGATATGGCAATATTCAAGGATAAAACTAACCTACATTCGATATTTACCTCAAGCCATAAACATATAATATGCGTTTACACATCAATTTTTTAATATTTAATTAATTAACATACATTCTCACCTTATTAAATTACTTATTTTATATTAAGTCGAGGAGGAAGATTCATGGTAAGTTCATGGTAAGTTACGTGGCATCTTAATCCAAAACATGAGGGTCTTAATCTGATGTGGACCACAATAATAAAATCCATAACTAGCATTGGCTCCACATAGAAGTTGTATCTTTATTATTATTATTTTTGGAATTTAGGTGCAAATTCCAATGTAGAAATGATGTATGCTAAGAATGGGATTCCAATCCATGAAGGAGGATGTTTGGCACTAGTTGAGCAGTTAGTCCAAATTAAAATAATAATAGTAATGGGAGTTTGGGTTCCAATTTCCAAATACATATGTAGATAATAATTGGACCACCTCAAGTAAGTTGAGAAAATTCCAAATAGTAGGACATTTTGGACTTATTATCATATAAAGCAAATGTGTCCTTCCATTGGTATAGAGAGGCAATTGGTGTTTTATACTCTCCAAGGGGAGAGCCACATGCACATTGCCCCCCCATCAATTCAATTCAATTATTATTTTTCTCTATGTTGCTTGATTAATTATGTGATGACTGATTTAATTGAGCAGTTTATAGTATCTTTTAGTATTATGTTGCTTGTAAATATATTGACTTCAAACTAATTAGTTTAGCCCTACATTGCATATGTAAGGTGGTACAATTTTTCGGATTGAAGTGGCAATCTAATATACCATCACACTCAAGGTTATTTAGGTTTAAAACTTCTAGTTAACTAGTCTCTGTTGAAATTTTTTCACTTATACATACATATGAGTATTTAATATGTATGTACTACCTATCAAGGCTTACAGTCTAGTCGTACAAGTAATTTTTTTCACGTAATAGTTGTGGATTCAATTCTCATTGACCACACGCCTCCGTTCTCCCTTACCCTGCCCAATCCATCATCTAATAGAAATAATGATAATTAAAAAAAAAGAAAAGGAGCTTGCTATGCACTAGTGATACAAAAATGTACATGTGAACAATTTTTATTTTATTTTTCAAATTCTGTCAAGTAGTCCTGAGGAAAAAAAAATCAGTTATAGACTGTGTCTTGTATGTTTAATTAATAACAATAATAGTGGTTAGTCGTTTATGTATTTTGTGACTTCACCTTATCTATAACAATTCATCAACCTAAAAACAAGGGCATAGATAATTTACTAAAATATGGCCAGCCAATTGTTAGAGGTCATATTCTTCTAATACTTTTATTTAATTGGCTTTGCCTACTTGGATTAATCCGCCAAGATAACTTAAAAATTTCTCTAATACACGTTGCTTTGTCTTTTTCATTTTAAATGTAAGTTAAGAATTTTAAGTATGACTAATCATCCAATTTCAAAGATAAGATAATTATCTGGTTGTTTTTAGTTACTTTGTAAATGTCATTTCTGTGCTAATTTATGAAGAGAGATTAACAACTCTTTAACACCTTATGAGCTTTGAGATTTACGTTGCGCAGGGAAATAAACAAGTTATTACAGCTATGTGAAAATTACTGCCTCCCTGAAAAAGAGAGATTTAATTACTTGGTCTGAGCAAACATGTTTGTTTTGCAATCTATTTTGAATCTGATTTTTTTAAGAAGAAATAAATTATGTAATTGTGTTAGTCTTACGGTTCAATATTAGTTCTCCACCTTATTATAAGTACTCTCTCTGTTTAACAATAGTTTTCCACGATTGATTTGACACATGAATTAAGAAGCAATAAATGATAGAGGTAATCTTATCAAAACACTCTTATTAAATATAAGTCATTTAAACATTGAAAATAGATAATATTTAATAGCAAGGATAAAATAGATATAACATGATAAATTATTCATTAATTTTATAAAAGTGAACAAGTATTGTTGGACATCCCAAAATAGTATAGTGGAACAAGTAAAAATAGACGGAGGCAGTACTTGTCAATTTATAAAATCAAGATAGAATTAATTAAATTTTCTCAATTTTATCCTCATAATTAGTTGTATTTTAAAAAGTGTAAGCAAGCTTGTAAAGTTCTAAAGAAGTTTCTTAAGGGTAAATTAGTGCAACTGCACTTCTTATTTATGATTTGTTAAGGAGCATGTAAATAGAAAAGTAAACAACTAATATGAAATGGAGAAGTATCTTTCACGTATTTCCATAAATTTAGCTGCATTATCATATATGAAAAATTAATGATTTGATTATTGGGCCAATAATTATCCTATTGCAGTCCATAATCCACATTTGAAGGGATCAATCACTTCAATGAGCTGAATAACAGATGAGAATTGGGCTTCTAACATTTATAAGTTGTGTTATAAATAGGGAAACTAAGCAAATACCCATAAAAGCAAAATAATTATAAATATATATCCTTTTATATTAATATTCCATTAAATAATTACACTATATACCTCCAAGTAATTTTGCTTAACTAATACTAAATCAGTATCATATACTGTATTGGTATCATTAAGGCTCATAATTACTTATGAACTTGTAATTATTTTGAATTTTATGGCCTTTTTATATAGTTTCTCCTTATAAATGTTATTTTCATGATATAGTTAGTAGAGTATTCAAATTAATAATAACAAGAAAAATATTGAAATTAATTTTTATTTCTTTCTGTCCATATAGATCCATTATATGCAAATTGTTTTTAATGTAGTATTCTTCATATAGTAAGATAAAACTAAGAATTGATTATAGTTAATAAGATATTACCCATGTATTTATAATACATTACTTTGTTATAGAAACTTTATTTATCAGTATGAAGATTTTTAATTAATTAGTTGGAAGTTTTAAATAGTTTTGGTACAAAGTAGATGGTTTTTTTTCTTAATTATTTATTATATAAATTTTGATATATATTTGAGTGTTGAATATTATGTTGTGTGAAACTAAAACCATATAATTCACCGTTAAAAAAATTTAAGACTAAAGGAAGCTTTAGTAGCTTCCCCCCGTTAGAAATAAGTTACATATCTTGGTGTTAGGACGATTATAAAAAGCTGAAATGGGCTAAAAACTTCTTCAAAAAATATTTTTTTTTTGGGCTTAGCCAATTTGAGTTGCAGTAAAAAGAGCTTCTCAGGCAGGAAATACAAATTAATCGAACCAGTAAATTCTAGATAAGAAATGATTAAAGCAAAAAAAGGGGACACTTGGAAATGAAATGTATATATAAAATGAACTTAACTTTGCCATTCATAAGCGACAGTGTGCTTAGACTGTATTAAGTCTAAATTCACAGTAAAATTTCTTATATGATACTAGCACACCATAAAGTCATAAAAATTTAAGAGCCACCTAATGTTAGAACATCTATACAATAAAAGCTCTATTTTGTTGGGTTGGCCCATAAGAGGCTTCATTTCATCCTACAAACTTTTTGTCAATACTATATCCTTCATTTTTCTTCTAGTCTTTTGACATATGCTAATATCATTTTTAAGTCCAAAAAAAGGCCACCAACAATGCATTCCTAAAAGCTGTTAGAACTAAGAAACTGAATGCCTTCCTTTTCTTGAAGGTGTAGATTTAGCTTCTTCCAAGTTATTAGCCGATCCAAGACTCTCGGACGAATCTGAGCCACTATTCTCCCCTTGTCCACCTTTGTTTGACCAGATTTTCGAAAACAGCCTCTTTGACATGAGCAAACCTTTCATTTTACTCATGGCAGCCCTGTCTGCATGGCTCTTGGCATCAATAACATTAACTTTGTCATTCGTTCCTCCATTTCCCATTCTTAAGGCTGCCAACTCTCCCCTCAAAGCCCTGAGTTCTTCTGCAGACGCTGCAGCATCCCAATCTTCTTCTGTATTAGTTGTTGCAGATCTTGAGCTTCCATATGAAGCACTGTTAAGGTCCCTAATTGCTTTTGGAAGATCCGGAGTACTGCTCCCAGATGAGGCGTTAGCCCTGACTTGCTCAAAAAAGAGCACTTGTACAACAACACGAAGGGGAAGCCTCTCATTTTGGACAGCATGCATACAAGCATCCACGGAGAGCTTCTTGCAGTCCATCAGCTTACAAATTCTCTTCCTCTCACTCTTGCTGATTCCAGGATGCTCCTACACAAACGCAAAGTTCAATAAGTACATACAGGGCATTCATTAACACGAACTATATGCATTGAATTCAACCATACCTAACCTATACCTTCCATATGTAGAATTCGGATTATACAAAGAAAAGTTGCTGAATTGACAAATGCTAGATAACATTTCCCATCATTTTTCCAGAGCAGAAAATTACTAGGATATTTTTGTAACACTTAACAAAATGTGAACTGCCCTCATGGAGTGAGCTTTCATGACTAAAGAAACCAAACAAATAAGTTTATCAAGGGGATTTTGCAGGATCGGTTTGTTTACTTCTTTTTTTTGGTCTGCGAGATCTTTTGACATGTTTCATTTGGACACTAAAAGTTTCTCCACAAACTTGCCAAATCTTACATGATAAATGAATATAATTGACTTCAGAAAAGAAACATATTTTGAGATAGCATAGATGCGACATTCATTTCCCAATGTGGTTCAGTAAACATATCCATGTTGAAATTCTAATCAAGGGTGGAGGGGAAGGTATCTGCTAGTTATTTCTATTAAGCAACTGTATGCAGAAGTCAAGGGAAACTCACCTTAAGGTACATATCAACTGCGCGATAAATTCCATCATGACCGGGTCGAGGGAAATTGGATACCATCTCTGCCAGACCAACAAATGTTGACAAAGGGAGATTAGGATCTTTTGCAATTTCGGTAAGATATCCATCTACTAACTTTGCCACCATCAGTTTTGAAGCTTCTGATAAAATCCCTGGTTTTCGGACCTCCTGAATTTCATCTCCATCTTCCAGCTGAGGTTCAGAATCCATATCTCTCATCACAAACGCTTCTAGTATTTTCTGGACAACATGGGCATCATACATGGTTCCTTCCCCATCTGCTGCTCGAATCAAAAGATCATTCACAGAAGCTTCCTCCAATTGCTGTCCTATTCTTTTGACTAGTTCTGCCTTCACTGTTTCTCCAGAGTCTAGTGAAATTGATGCTTTTAGCAATTTTAACAAGAAACTACAAGAGACGCTACCTTTCTCAGAGGGCAATAGCCATACCACCGTATCCAATATTGGGCGACATTTGGAGACATCATTGAATTGGAAGGCGCCTTTATTAAAGCCTGGAAACCTTCTATATGCATAAGCTTTGGCAGCTTCTCCAATAACTTCAGAAGAAACAATCCCTTTGTTTTTTATAGTGATAACCACCCGCTTATACAGATCTACTTCAAGCTCACATAAATCCTCAACCCACCAATCTTTCGGCACCATGCGGCTTCTAATTCCATTCAAGTTAGGATCATTTCCATTCTCTTCTGGAAGCTTTTTACGATTATAAGTATAGGACCAATCCACCCTGGAAACATCAACCGAAGCCCTGGATGCTACAGCATCAATGCAGTGGCTGGTCAACTTCAGTTCCTCGCACATGCGTGATTGAGACTTAGTAGTCTGTAGAGCTATTATTGAATCTTTCCAACTCCGGAAAATGCTAGAGTTCAGGAAAACATCAATCTTGTAGACCAGGTTTCCTTTCTCAAGACTTTCATTCATACCGAGATACTCAGCAGCACACCTTGCAGAAATGACATTATAAGCATTCAGTGTAACAGTCATGCCGTAACAGAATTTAGCACATATTTCGAAAGCACTAGGTCCTCCAGGGATGTCATGAATGTCAACTTCGTCACAATTGCCTTCACTTGCATTAGAAACCAACTTTTGCAAAGTTGCACTCTTGGACAGGAGAGGAAACTGCAGAGTGTTTTCAGTAAAGAATGAGTAATCGGAGTAAAAAGATGGTTAATTCAACAAGTCAAATACGTAAATAAGACATTTTCATTGATCAAGATACTTCAAATATGAAAAGCACTTCACAAAATTGTATTAAAAAGTTTAGCATCATAAAAGTACTCGTACAGCAAAGCAGCACTTATTGGAATTATGAACAACAGCTACTGCTACTGTGATACCTATCAGTCCAAGGCAATCATAAGTACCACAGTGTTGAGTGAAGGTGACCATTAAACTTGAGGCTCATGCACACACATGGAATTTATTTATTTGTTATTTGTTATTTTTTTATTATAGGTAATGAGCAAATACATCGATTATAACTTTGTGTATTAGCACAGACAGCATAAGACAGATCAAAAAGAACTATTCAGCTACTATGCTGCAGTCTATTTGACACACCAATGAATGCAAGAAACCCATGCTAATGTAGAAAATATAATAAATAAGTGGAAATAGTAAACAGAAGCATAATTTGGACCTACTGTTTTCCTCCCTCCTTCAGGAGAAAAGGCACTCTACTGCCATTTCACATAGTAACACACAAAAAAAATAAAAAAATGCATGATTAAATTATTACTGTGTACTTGTTAGACCATTGTACCTTATGCAGATAAAACTTCACATCTCCTACATTAATAGTGATGTCCGAGGCCAACTCTGAAGCAACATATCTGTATTAAGAATCTGTTAGTAGAATTCAGAAGAGTCTAGACAGATCCATTAACAATAACAATGATAAGGTTATTAAAAGTCATGGTATAAATTATAAAACCAACTGCTACACCTCAATCCGAAACATGTTGGGGTCAGCTATCCACGATATTTCTCCATTTTAACTCATTAGTGCTATAATCATACTAGATAGAAGTAGGAAAAAAAAAGGTAAACATATATAAATAATAATTTTAAAAAATAGTTCTGTATATTTCTTTTCTTCACCATTATTCTAACTCAACCAAATGAAAAGACACTAATCTTCTCTTTCAAAACAAGACTAGAAGGATGTGAAATCATTTAATTAGTAAGGCACATATTTCCTCTCGGCAGAAAAATCTGATGGCTCAAATTCATCAGCTCAAGTCATAAAATGAAGTAACAAGGTTTAATCAATCTTGTTGAGTCATCAGATCGAAACTGGTGAGGCATAATCCTGCCGCATAAATCATAATTATTGTTAGCTACCGGAAACCAGAGTGAAAAAAAATTGAAAAAGAGCAACATAAGTAGGCCCTTATGTCTGCGCTTATATTACCACGCTGATGTTATAGGCCGTTTATACCCACAATTAGAACTTGCGCAACGAAATCTTCCGCATCTGACTATAACAAATCTAAGGGGTTAAAAGTTGAAACCTAAAAAATCAGTAGTACAAACTATTCAAGCACTGCACAGTACTGATAAATCTTTTATAGGTTTGATGAGTATTTCATAAATGAAGCTTTTGAAATCAATAGCTAAGACTAGACAATAATATTAATCAAGTCGTTTAACTGAATAAGCTACACATATGCCAAAGACAAATGGACCATCAAAATATGGCAGGCAATGTGGAACTGGAAACTTCAAATGGCTGGATACCTTTATTTGACTATCTGTTAGGTGAAGAAATCACAACAATAAAAGATGGAGTCTATCTCTAGAAAACACCCTTATGTTTGGCATTCCTTCTCAGTTCTCCCCTAACAATACCAGAAATAGAAAAGTGAATGGTAATAAAATCTAAGTCCTAGGATAGATTTGGGGAAAGATTAATTAGGATAAAGAGTAAACTTGATATAATCCTTAAAACGATTTTCTAAAAGAACATCCTAGACCCACCCCCACCCACTCAAAAGTCAATACAATAATATAGGACAGAACACAAGTAAATAGATAAGGCTGGATGTTGACATTAGATGAAATGCCAATTTATTCAACACCAGATACATAAAAAGACAGACACTAATTAATTATCTTGAGAATATGAAGATCAGTTACAATTCTACAAAAGAAAACAGCAATGGATGGCCCATATAATCGACGAAGAAGCTTTTAGAAAAAATAAAAACTTTAAAAAAAAAAAAAGCTAGAAGAAGATCTGACCTGACATTGTTCCCATCTGTCTGAAAGGTATCAGGCTTGGATCCAAGTTTCATGAACTTCATCTTGACAACTTAGAAAGATCTGATTTTTGTTGACACTTGAGAAAATATACTTCCCTAAACTACTCAACAAATCACTGCAAAATCAAACAATACGCTTTGTTCATAACCTGATATTCCCAATGTTCAAACATAACCTGAAACCAAGGACAAATAGCTCCAGAAATGGAAAAAATGTAAGAACCCAGGTGTGGGGACCAAGTTTCTGAATATAACCAATTTTCCTCAACTTCAAGGGAGAGAAGGGGAAGAGTAATGGGATCTCAAAGAGGGGTATTATAAGTAAGTTATAAGATATAAGGCTTAGTATGACCGAATCTTGAAAGTAAACAAAGGCAAAGCAGGATGAGCTATCTTAGAGTAAGAGAAGAAGAAATGGTTAGTTTAATTTAAAGAAAAAGAGGATCACTTAAATGTGAAGAGAGCCATTAAGAGAAGAGATTGTTTCCTTGGTCGGCGGCAAAGCCCACGGACCACGGGGGCTCCTTCTCAACCCAGGAGACATAAACAACAGACTCTCTTCACTAAATTATTCACAAAACCAGTAACTACACACCCCCACTAGCATCCATCTGACTCCACCCCACCATCTTTCTTTAATACTACTTTACTTATTTACTCTTTCTTTCTCTCTCTCACACACACGTAGACTTTACTCTTTGCTTGTTTCTTCCACAAATTGGTTCATTTTTTATATAGAAAAAGTTCAAGGCTTGAGTTTCAGACCACACATAAAAGAAAATCTTTTAAAAGATCCAAACTTCCAAACAGAAATCACATGTAAATCTAAACAAATGTAAGATATAACAGCATTTTTTAATTGAAAGTTGAGAGATTTGAAGAACCTGCAACGGAAAACAGCATCTTGGTATCAGTTGAAGGCACTACCAAAACGGGAGACAGCAAGCATCTAATCTTTATAGTTTTTGCAAAGCCAAAAAGAACAAAAAAATTAATGAGAAAGATCACAAGAATAAATAGAAGCATAGTTTATAATGCATTATTTCAAAGGACAAAATCAAACATCACCAACGAACAAAATCTGTAGAAACAAAAAGAATCATCTCAGAGAGAGAGCAGAAATCTAGCCAGTAAAAAATTCAAGAAATCAAGAAAATTTACTTTGTATTTGAAAGACACAACCCAAAAGCCACTCCCTTTGTTGCATGAAACCCCTGTGTAGAAACACAAGAAATCTACTTCAAAAGCAAGAAGAAGAATCAAGAATACCCACAAAAATACAATCTCAAATCTTTTTAAAGAACCTTTTTTTTTTTCAAGAAAATAGTTTTTAAAGAGATAAAACATAAAACCCCACATGCAAAAAATTTAAAAGAGCACACACACCAACAAAGCAGAACTAAAGCCACCATAGTAATGTGAGAATCAAGAAAATGAGTTGTGTATCCTGTTTCCAGTAACTGTGGGAGAAAAAAGAAGTAGAAAAATATAGCCCAAAAGGCCAAAATTTGCTAGTATATGCTTACCAGTTTTGCTAGAATCAGCACAACAACTTTATGGTATCAGAAATTTTCTATTTTACCATTTCTTATCAAAGGACAAACCATAAAAAAGCACATGTCCACTCAAATTTAAGAGTATTTGCTTCTTCTTTTTTCCTTTTTATGTTTTTTTAACCTTTTCCCTATTCTTGTTTCTTTTTTTCCTGTTTTTTCACTCTGTAATTTTCAGGGCAAAGTGGGAAACTATTATTTATTTCAGTACAAAAAGATTGGGAAGGTTGTAGTGATGAAGACACCCAATTTGCTATGATATGCACGCCATACTGACACTCTGCTTTCTTGCTCCCTCCCTTCTCTGGTTTTTCTCCTCTTTAAAGTGATTGGTTTTAGGACTAAATTATTCTAGAATCATAATTTTGAGATTATAATTTCTAAGCTAATTTATATTATTTGAAATAATTAAGGTAAAATAATATCAAGATGATAGATTGATAATTAAGTTTTAAGATAAAATTTTATATTATATTTAATTGACGCTGGAATAATAATCAAACACAATATAAATTTAATTCTAGATTATTCCATCTTAATTCGCGTATCAAACAAGTCAAATGAGTATGTTGATTGTAGGATGCATTTAAAAAAAAAACGCATGCATTAACTTTGTATATTAATAATATTTTGTTTAATACACTTTCTAATGATGGTAATAATGTAAGGGGTCGTTTGGTAGAGTGTATAAAAATAATATTAAATAGAGTGTATTGGTAATAAAGCACTGGTAATGCATGTATTAGTTATATTTACATTAGTTATGCATATAATATATTTTTATGCATTGTTTGATTTGATGTATTAAAAAAATATGTGTTGTATTTACAAAGGTATCCTCTACAATTATGGTGAAAAAGATGTAAAAGTGTTTTTGAGGGGTAATTGGGTCTTTAACCATGCTAATGCATGTATGTACCCTTTGCATTACTAATACCTATAAACTCATGGTATAGTAATACACTTCTCAGTATACAATAGAGTGTGTGTAACTAATGCTTGCATTAGTTATACATAACATAAAAAATTGTACCAAACAAGGTACTACTAATATACAAAGCTAATGCAAGCATTATTTTTATTAATACTTTGTCAAACGATCCCTAAGTGACCAACATGAGTTGTGGTGCAGTAGTGAAACTGTTTCACCCTTAATCAATGGTCTCGAGTTCAAATCATGTGTATGTAGAAAATCTTATTGGAAGTGTCACCTCCGAATGGGTCATGCAGTGCACGATCTAAATTTAATCGAAGCTAAAATACTTGCTTCGGATGCCGGGTGGAAAATATTTATATATAAAAAAAAAACAATGCAAGTAGTTGTAATGCATACAATAGCTTGATTAAAGACATATTATGGAGGATATTTTTGAAAACAAATAAGTAATAGTATTCGTAATGCAAATGATTTTAATTCATGCATTAGCATGATTAAAGACACAATTATCCCTAAAAAAATCATATTCTTTCAGTCATATTTGTAGATGGTATTTTTGTAAATAAATATTTTTTGAAAATTAAAAAATGTATATTATTTTTAATACATTAAACCAAATAGTACATAAAAATAAACTCAATATATATATATATATATATATATATATATAATTAACACAAGAATTAATAATATTAGCATTATTAATACACCAATATTCCATAAATTTCTTATATGGTGTTTATCTCAAAGTCTATATCAAAATTGACCCCATTATTATTACTAGTAATTAACTAGGAACCACTCCTTTGTACCTCAAAAATGACTTGTCAATCCAATCAATAATTCTTTAAAAAAAATCTTTTAACTTTTTCTTGTTTATAATCATTGTGTTTGTACTTCTATAAAATCTTCCAGGATCACATCTCCCATCCCTCCACTGCACATACTGGGTGAAATGAAACATCTATCAACACTTGTCGAGTCAATTCCCTAAATGGTCATTCAAGTTTAGGAAATTGCCTTGAAATATCATTTATATTTCATTTAAAACCAAAATAACACTCAACTATCACTATTTTCCTTCAAATATACCTGATACTCCAAAAGCCTCACTCTCTCCTAGTTGGCATGACATGTCATTAAAGTCTTTTTTTTAATAATGACTAATTTAATTCATTAAACCCATTTAACTAAAATAATGATCATTTAAAAAAAAAAAGATATATTAGTTTATTAAGAATAAATTTTCATACTTAAGAATCTTTTATCCTAATTATTTTTTTTATTTTTTTATGCGATGAAAAATAGTTTTTTTTTAAAAAACCTATCATAATGTCATCAATTTTGACTAATTATAAATACATATATTGAAAAAATATTGATATATAAATCACTTATGAATGTCAACTTCTATCAATTAATCATATATTATATAATGGATCAATAATATCAAAGGTCGATTAACTATTAAAAAATAATTAATTGGGTGCTTTGAAATCCATATATACTCACAATATATTTTTTTTTAAATAAAATAAAATAGAAAGTGAATAATATTTATATTAGAAAATAAAATTTTGATCTTTATTTATCAATACACTAATCTCATATAATATGTATATTATTGAATTAAAATAGGCAATTCAATTAATTATTACTTGTATTTCATGATTTTGGGATGAGATAAGAATATATATTGGTGTTTAATTGTATGAGAAGTTAAAATATAATATAATATAGAATAAAAGAATAAAAATAAAAATTAAATTTTAAAAAAAGTTAAATAATAATTTTCTCTTTCATACCAATTTTTTTGTCAACCTTACAAATTTATTTGAATACTTTTATGAAAAAAATGCTTAAAATTTTCAAATAATTTACTTAGCAATTTTAAAAATTATCAGGTAATAATTGCACACAGAGGTTTTTCATTGAATTTTGTTTGGTAAAAATATATAAAGGAATTAGATTTTTTAATTTTTTTTATAATCTTCATAAATTCTCATGTAATTTATATATTTGTTTTGTAGAGACATAAGTTTGATGAATTAAATAGGTCTATTATTTTTTTTAAATGATGATTTAATGACATGACGTATCAACTAGAATAGAAGGAGACTTTCGAGGTATTTAGTATTATTATTTTTGGATAAAAAATATAACCTTATTCACTTTCTATTATTTTTTTAAAAAAAATTGTAAGCATGAATTTCAAAATACACAATTAATTTTATTGTAATAGTTAATTGATCTTTAATATTATTGATTCATTATACAATTTATGATTAATTGATGTAAGTTAACATTTATGAGTGATTTGTATATCAATATTTCTTTTGAATGTATGTGTTTATAAGTATTCAAAATTGATGATATTATAGTACGTTTTAAAAACCTATTCTTCATAACAAAATAAAAAGTTTAATTATGATAAAAGATTCTTGAGTATGAAAATTTATTCTTAATAAACTAATACATCATTTTAAAAAAATAATATGATCATTATTTTAGTTAAATGGGTTTAATGAATTAAATTAGTCTATTATTAAAAAAAAGACTTTAATGACATGTCATGTCAACTAGGAGAGAGTGAGTCTTTTAGAGTGTCAAGTATATTTGGAGGAAAATATGATAGTTGAGTGATATTTTGATCCTAAATGAAACATAAATGATATTTCAAGGCAATTCCCTAAACTTGGGTGACCATTTGGGGAATTGACTCACACTTGTCTTTGAAATCATATTACTTTATTTTTTGATATATATATATATGATAATACTTGCCTACTAATTATGTGATACCAATGAGTTAAACTTAGATTTTAGTAATATAATCAATATATACAGTAGGACTTTTTAGATTCAATATTCGTTAAATTTTTATACTCCCTGATTAATACTGTACCTATCAGCAAATTCTTACCATATATAAATAAGTGTGATACAAATTTGACAGAACTCAATAATTTTGGCTCAAATTATATATTTATATTAAGATTTAAGAAGTTTATCAAAAATATATACAAATATTAAGTTTAGAATCTTATTATCACCGCTTGAAATCGAAATTATAAAATTCAAAACTCATGGGGTCGTTTGGTTGGAAACAAGTTGTCCCAGGATAAGTTATCCCGAACATAGCAACCAAACAACATAATTTTTTTTTTATTCCATCACTATTAGCCCATAGTATTAAAATTCCTCTATATAAATATACTGAAAAAGTGAAGTCATTTTATTATGTATATACTGTACTGGTGTGAATCCTATAATGTGGTCAAATCAACTAGTAGAAAATCTTGATCTGCATGCTTTTCTAGAATAATAAGAGGCCAATTCCACTATCATAAATACAAAACACTTGCATGTCGACTATTTTCAATTTTTCCAATCAATGCTAAAAACGACATTTGACTAATTGAACACCCTACATTTCAGGTGGCTAATGAAAATATCTTCTATTTCATATTACTTCAGCTCTATTAATCTGATTGATACATCATACATTCATTGAATTTTTTTTTAACTAAAAGTGTTTTAATTTAATGTGAGAAAAAAAATCGGAAAAATACTACTCTCTAACTTTAATGTACGTCTGTGCAATTTTTAATATAAATTGAACTAGGCAAGTGGCAAGCATACAATATGCTCCAACCAAAGGAGCCACCAAGGATATATATGCAATTTTGAGCAATAGAATTATTATTTGTTATGTAAATACTATCTCCGTCCATTTTTAGTTGTCATAATTTATTTTATTAGAATTAAACTATAAATTTTGACTAACATTTTATGATGTATTTTTCCATCATATTGATATGCAAAAAATTACAATTTATAGTACTTTTCATATAGTTTCTAAATTTTTTTTAAAAAATATCAAATTAATACAATCTAATTTAACTTTAAAAATTAATTAAATTGACTTTTGAAAAATATAACATGACAAATAAAAATTGACAAATATTATTATTTCTGTTCCTCCAGTTTACAAGGCACCAAAATCTCTGGTTTTTCTTCATTACCCTAATCAATAGCACTTGACTAGGTCTTTGTATCTAATGACACACACATGCTGCTGACTCTTCAACTATAATTATACTTTTGAAAGTCTATGAAGAAAGAAAAGTGACCCACATTTCAAGTAAACACTTGTCTACAACGGCACAGTTGTGGGAACTTGAAGAGTGCC